TCAAAAATTCACAGGACTTTAGAGAGGAGAGGTGTACACCTGTATACCTGGCCACTGGGCAGCAGAGTTCAAAATGGTGACCAGAACAGTCACCATAGGGCATTGTGGGACATCTCCTGGAGGCCACTAATGTCAACATAAATAACACGATGTCTACACTGACACTGCGTCGACCCAACTACGTTGACCTAAGCGTTATGACTCTCACAGTGGTGGAGTTAAGTCGGCGTAGCAGGTGAGTTACATTGGCAGGAGGAACATTTTAGTGTAGGCGCTTACTGAGTTAGGTCAACGTAAGCTGCCTTGCACTGACCCAATTCTGTAGAGTAGATCAGGCCTTCATCTTCATTAAAACAGCTTCAAACAGAAAACGGGCTTATTTAGCTGATTTCTGCTTAGCTTTCTCTCTAATTTTTCCGTACACACAGATATACAACACTCCCACTCGCACACCAGTCCCTATAACTTAATCAAGCTATTCCTCTTACAGGAAGCAAGAAAGATCCATTTTTATTTTTAATTTTAAAATATTGTAGTAGGTGCTCCGATATTACGGCAATCCAAGTCATATAAATAGAGCGGAGAGATATAGGCTTTAGGCTACCATTGCATCATAACACTTGCTATGTAAGCCACCTGAAATTAGTTGCACAGAACTAGAACATAAAAATGCAAATCCATTGATATGTCTCAAAGGAGACAAGATGTCAGAGTACCTAGAACAGGTGTTTGCTTGGGTAAGACAATATTCCTTAATATTGCAAAAACCCTGTTTTTCTATTACTTGCTTTTGGATTTTCCCCATCTTTACTAAAAATTAGGTTCTATCTAGTAGTAATTGTGACATTGCGTTGAATACTGATAAGACTAGAGATTTGTTTTGAACATAATCATGGAAAATATAAGCCATTTAATACTATATTTAGAGAATTAGTTTATTTTAATTTACTAACTAAATCTCTTTGAACGTGTCAAAAGCACTTCGCACTGAGTCACCATAGCAAATGTTAAGTTTGTTTTTTAAACATTTTGTGTTATCCAACCCTAAAAGTGTCTATAAAGAAATTAAGACACATTTTCCCCTACATGTTTACAAAACTCCAAAAGAACTCATGTTATTGAATTAAACCTTTTCCAAAACAATCATCAGGCTGAGATTGCCAATCAAGGCGGCCTGGTCTCCCTTCACAGCCCAGCAATATTTATCCTGCATTTGACCAAAAGGTCACTGCAGCATAATGTAAAGATCTCCCACATGGGAAGTACACTGCCTCTTCAGGAGCTCTCAACATCTGAGAGCTCAGGTCAAAATACCAATTGAGTCTCAAATTGTGCTACTAGTGTACTGCTGTTCCAATGCATTTTTATTATTTTGGAGAGCGAAAAATACCATACCCAGAATATATCTACAAAATCCCTCAGACAACAAGAACTAGCTCATACAGGTACAGCATTATATTTCTTGTGCCATATGCTTACCCATCAAGCTACAAAGCTGCCAATAAGCCACTGAAATGTGTGAAAAGTTACTGAAAAACATAACCTGTGTTTTGCTGCATGTCACCATGTAATGGATAGATTACAATTTTAATAGGCCAGTTTTCCAGTACGTCACTCTTGCCTCCCAGCAGAGTTCCAGCTTGGAACCCTTTGTCCTAGACAGGTCGTACATCACAGTCATGATTTTTAGTAACAGAACCATAGATCAGGGGTGGGGAAATTAAGCATCCAGCCCGCTGCTTAATTTAATCTGGCCCATGGCAAGTCTCTGCGCCATGGGCTGGAAGCCCGAGCCTTGGTTCCCCCACCCAGGCCTGGAGCCGCGAGCGCCGGCTCACCCTGCTGTGGGGGAGCTAGGGTTGCCAGGCCGTTAGAAGTCTGGTCGGCTTTGCGCAGCTTCCCGGAAGTGGCCGGCATGTCTGACCCTTAGGTGCAGGGGTGATCAGGAAAGCTCCATGTGCTGCCCCCGCCCCCAACTCTGCAGCTCCCATTGGCCGGGAACCTTGGCCAATGGGAGCTGGGGGGGGGAAGTGCACCGCGCACAGCCACCTGGCCACGTCTCCGCCAAGGGGGCCAGATGTGGCAGTTGCTTCTGAGAGCAGTGCGAAGCCAGGGAACCTGCCTTAGCCCTGCTACACCACCGACTGGGAGCTGCCTGAGGTAAGGACCTCCAGGCCGGAGCCCGCACCCCAAACTCCCTGCCCCAGGTTGGAACCCTCTCCCGCACCCAAACTCCCTCCCAGACCCTGCACCTTGAACCTCCTGCCGCAGGTCAGAACTCCCTCCCAGAGCCCACACTCCCTCCTGCAACCCAGCCCTCTGCCCCAGCCTGGAGCCCTCTCCTGTACCCCAAACTCCTCATCCCCGGCCCCACCCCACAGCCCACACCCCCTCTGGCACCCGCACCCTGAACCCCTCATTTCTGGCCCCATCCTGAAGCCTGCACCCCCAGGTGGAGCCCTCATTCCCCCCCCCCTCCCAGCCAAGTGAAAGTGAGTGAGGGTGGGGGCGAGCAAGCAACTGAGGGAGGGAGGGGGACTGGAGTGAGTGGAGGGCGGGCGTCAGAGAAGGGACCGGACCTCGGGGAAGGGGCAGGGGACAGGGTAAGGGTGTTCAGTTTTGTGCATTAGAAAGCTGGCAACCCTAGGGGAAGCCCCAAGCCTCCGCGCCACCCCTTCATACCCCGTGGGGCTGTGTGTGGCCCACGATTGATTTTTTTCTGTGAATCAATGGCCCCTGATAGAAAAAAGGTTCCCCACCCCTGCAGTAGATCATCAGATAGCTAGGATTAGGCTTCTTTTCAGGCTTACCAAATTCTACCTCATTGCCTGATATCAAAGTGTATCCATGCAGCTCGGCCACTAGGGTGTAGGGCAGCGGTACTCAAACTACGGGCTGAGACCCCAAAGTGGGTTGCGACCCCATTTTAATGGGGTCATCAGGGCTGGCTTAGATTTGCTGGGGTACCGGGCCCAAGCCCAAGGGCTTCAGCCCTGAGCAACGTGGCTAAAGTTATAGACCCTTTTCCTGGGGCTGAAGCAGATGCAGAGGCAAATGTATGGAGAATTTTCTCCTTTACTTCTCTGCTGGAGCTCATGCTCAGCACATTGCTATTAAAAGTGTTTGTGCAGTAGAAGCCACTGAGAGGCTACAGGAGACTGAATGCTGCTTCAAGCACTATTAAGTTGTGATTTAGTGTAGCTGGAAGTCATGGATTTTATATGCTGTTCCACTCATGGTCCCAAAATACCATAGAAACCTAATCTCATGAAGCTCCAGCAGAGAAGCTGTTAGAGAGGAGAGAATGATGCTCTGGAGCTGTACTTCAACTGCCATTTCTGCTCTCCAAGGACAGAACCAGTAGATTTGGGTAGCCTCCGCTAATGGAAGGGAAAGGGGACTAACTAGCACTGGTTGTCAGTGGACATTTGTTCTAGCACAAAACAATACCATTTTCACATAAGAAGGGTGTTAACACACAAGAGGTGTTATTTCTATAGTTATAGTATATTTTAAAAATGATAATAATAGTCAGTTTTAGATATTTTTTCAGCAGGGAGAGTTGTAGTAAAGAAGAAAAGATTTTGTTACACAGCCCAGATGTTTGGAGCTAAACAGAACAACGATTCACTGATTTATTTTTTTTAGAATGAATCTTTAAGTGTAAGAAACAGCATCAGTTTGCTTTAGGGAACTGGAAGAAACACAAAACCTTACAGATAAACAATGTCCTAGATAAATATTATGCTGTCAATCTCCCACATACATTCCTGTACTTGAATATCTAATGAGAAGAATGAATGGTTCAGTGGATAATAGGAAATGGAGACTTTCACTGCTAGGTCATCATTTTGAATACAGAAATGTCAGCAGTGACCCAAAGTAGTTACAACTCAGTAATCTTTGCAGAATAAATTGGTGGTCTCTATTCAATTCCTACTTACAAGGTGTCCACATAACAAAAGTTACCATCACAACTGGCACCCTTGTTGGCAACTTCAGCAAAGAGGCCAAGGACTTAATATGCTTGCAGACTGAACTACTCTCTCAACCTTAGAAATCCTCTTTTCAAAAGAGCACTGAGGTCAACTGTGAAGATGCTGGGGCAGGGAGAGGTTGAGGGAAGGGAGGAAGGAGGCGCTTGCACCTACAGCTGTGTGTGCTGTACCTATTCTGAGGATAATTTGAGGATTTCAGCCTACAACACTATTAATGTAGCAATTTTTGAGTACCAAATTCACTTAAACTTGAAGGAACTCACAGGACTTTTTTTTTATTATTACAGTCACCCCATTTAAAGATGAAGATATTCCCAAAGGAAAGTATCTGATTAGAGTACCAAGCATTCTAACTGATGAAGAAAACTAACTACCATCATCACTTGTTCCCTACCAGTGGTAGCCATGTGATGTGTTCACGTATGGCCTGTTTAGGCCTGAGATACTTAACTAACAGTCCTTCACTAACTAGTGGCAGTTGCTAATAGATGTAACAATTACTCCTATGGATGGCCTTTTCAGGGACATCCTTTGTGATTTTCCTTTGGGATTTATCAATTTCACCATATTCAATAATTCAGTTAAGTATTTCTTGATTTGTGTGGAAATGACTGAAGTGTAGTTCAATTCTAGAAGTGACATAATGAAGTTCCATGTTTGACTCAATTACTTCCAGCTTCAACTGCACCTTAACTAGACCTCTAGTATATCCCAGTTGTACTGGAGTTACCGGTGATCGTGTTCAAACAAGAAAGAACCCAACTTAACTTTCAGGTCCCAAGATGTGTTCGCAGAGTTAGAAATGATTAAATAAATAATACTAATCAATCTCTTATTTTGTCAACTGAGCAAATTTGTTCTGAAAGTCATTAAAAGACAAACAAAGAATTTAACACTGACCATTTTACAGTCACTTCTCAGACCAGAACCACATTTTAAGTCAAGATTGGGACAAAAATAACAAGGCAAGACGAGTTTTGTTTTGTTCAGTTCAACACTTACTTTCTCCATCTCCATCTTTATCAAATTCTTCAATCATAGCCCGTAGTTCTTCATCAGACATATTTTCACCCAGTTCTCTAGCAACACGGCGCAGGTTTCTCAAGCTTATTTTACCTGAGTCATCATCATCAAATAATTTGAATGCTTTGAGTATCTCTTCTTGTGGATCTCTGTCCAATATCCAGTCTGTCACTAATGTAGGGAAAATAAGATACCATTTATTTCAAAAATGGCAATTTCACAGTGTCCCAGCTCTACTTTCTAAGTGAAGTTAATCCTTTTTTCCTAAGCTTCTGGTTTCTAAAACTATTTCACCTGTTCAGATTTCTCTTAGCTTTCCATCAGGCATTTTTAATTGACTATTAAAGGCTTAAACATTGGTATTTCTAGTTAGTTATAACAGTGTTGGGGCTGTTGAACAATTCCTAAGTTAAGATCTGTTGAATACCCCAGACTCATCTTTGTTTCACATCTTCCATTCAGTTTTAGTGTCAACACTAAATTTTAGGATTGGGCCAGAAAGGAAGGCTGTCTTCAAACACTGTCTCCTGTGAAGACAAAATGTCTGATTATGATGTTAAATGTTTGCTGTATTAAAATCAAAGGCACCAGTTGGGGCACTGCATGGTTAGTGCAGCATTATTCCAAAGCAAAAAAAGGATCGGTCTGGAAGAGGAAACTTAAGCCAAGTCTCTTCAGCACTGTGCACTTCAGATTTGACAGCAACTGACATGGTACATTCTTAGGGTATGTCTACACTACAGGATTAATCCGAATTTAGATAATTCGAATTTGGGAAACAGGTTGTATAAATTCGATTGTGCGCGGCCACACTAAGCACCTTAATTCGGTTTTTAACCACATTAATTCGGTGGTGTGCGGCCACACTACCCCATTAACTTAAACACAGTAATTCGGTGGTGTGCGGCCACACTAACCCTAATTCGAATTAACAAAATCGATTTAGGCGTTACTCCGCTCGTCGAGGTGGAGTACAGAAATCGATTTTAAGTGCCCTTTAATTCGAATTAACTGGCTCTGTAGTGTGGACGGGTGAAGGGTTAATTCGGATTAACGCAGCTAAATCCGAATTAAAGTCCTAGTGTAGACCAGGCCTTAGAAAGGATGCTTAAGGGAACCACTCTGAATCTGCCTTTCTTTCTACTTTTTCTAGCAAAAGTGGCTTAATCATTGTCACTTCCCAATACCTACATTTTCAGGACATATTTTATAGACTACAGCAGGGGTTCTCAAACTTCATTGCACCATGACCCCCTTCTGACAACAAAAATTACTACATGACCCTGGGGGGAGGAGTGGAACTGATGCTGGAGCCCGCTCAAGCCCCACTGTCCCACATGGGGGGGCCAAATCCAGAGCCCCACTGCTCCAGGAGGCAGGGCCTGTAACCTGAGCCCTGCCGCCAAGGGCTGAAGCCCTTGGGCTTTGGCCCTGGACAGCAGGACTTGGGCTTCACCCCTGGGCCCCAGCAAGTCTAAGTCAGCCCTGGTGACCCCATGAAAATGGGGTTGGGACCCACTTTGGGGTCCTGACCCACAGTTTGAGAACCTCTGGACTAGAGGAAGCCCCTGACCTAGAAGTATCAACAGTTCAAGAAAAATTCAGCAATTAAGAAGGTGTTCAGACACCAACATGAGGAGCATGGTATAAATACCTAGCTTAGATAGACAAGAATGATCCACAGTGATTTTCTTATTTATATGCTTATAAATATTCAGGAAGTGAAGAAGAGTTGTAAACTCAGGAAGACAATATAAATAGAAATATAAAAGTTGAGGGTGGAGAGTCACTGGACATATACTTTTTAATAGCACTTTACACTTTCACTCCTGCATTTTTCTAGTTCAGTTCAATATGCTTATGCCTCATTTCTTTATTTACTTGTTTATCTTATCTCCTTCTATTTTCCCTGTATCTCTCTCTCTTTGTGGCATGTCCATTTACCCTGGAGGTTGAAGAGCAGTTTAACCTCATTTGTGCTTTTGATATGTAGACCTTTCCCACAGCACCAGTCAAATTGGTGCTCTGGGGGAAAAGCTCTACTATGCAGGTTGTATAGATGTGATTGTGTTGCTTCTAAATTTTGTGGAATCCTCTTGATACTGAGAGAGAAGCAGTTGGGCACTAAAAAACATGGGTATCTAAAAAAAGAGAGCTATGATACAAACTGCAACAAGAATAAAACAGTGAGAGTAATTAACCATTTAACAAGTTACCAAAGGTTAGGGTAGATTCTCCATCACTGGAAATTTTTAAATCAAGATTGGATGTTTTTCTAAAAGATATGCTCTTGTTCAAACAGGAATAAAGTCAGGGAAGTCCTATGGTCTGTGTTATACATGAGGTCAGACTAGATGATCACAATGGTCCCTTATGGCTTTGTAATCTATGAAAAAAGCCCCGACTTCCCAGGGCATTGAGGAGGCTTTTACTATATAAGGCAAGACACTAATCCAGGAAGGCTTAATCAATCTTGATTATTCTTTTTATCACATCCATTTGTCAGTCCTATAGCAGAGAAAAGCAAGACAACATAATCTGTCGTGTCAAAATATTTTGCTAGTAATTGCTTCACCCATTTCTGGAACCAACCAATATCTTCACACTCTTTGTACCTGCTAAGTCTTGTATTACAGGACTTGCTATTTATGACTTTCAACAAGCCATTATAAATACTTCACCCCTGCTGGGGTTTACAGAACCATTTAGAACTTGCTATTGTTTGTAGAGGGAATGAACTGTCTGGTTTAGTGAACTTGACAGGAAAAAATTAGATCTAAGCTCAGAAATTTATTGTGGCTCTACTGCAAAATTTGAGTGTATTGATTTAGCTTTAAAATAATCATGTATGTATAGAGGCATTACATTATTTGAATCATCTTAGTTGTCCTTTGACCATGACAAATTTAGATTTACTTATCCAAAGAGCACTCCAAATAACTAATTGAAACATATTATCCTAAAAGACTGAATATACAAAATATATGTAAATTTCAAAGAGGTTTTGGTTTTATAAACCAAAACAAATATATAATAGTTTGTTCATTTTGTTTTTTGTGGTTCATTCCTATGTTTAAACTAGTAAACAACTTGTGGTATAGTGGTGAAGATGATTAAGGTGTATTTCTTCCCTTCTAATTTACATCAAAGAAAACAAAATGTGGCTCAACTAATTTTACTGTGCTGTAAATTCCTGTATCTCACATTCCTCCATTCAGTCCAGTTCATTCAGCTAGATGAAGTATCCCATACCAGTTAAGGAGAAAGAGCCAAGTGATTTTCACCAGAGCTGAAATTGACTCAAAGTTTAGAGATGAGTTCAGACAAGAGTATCACCTTCCTATGCTCTAAGTGGTTCTGTCCAGCTGAGCTGCCTCATGGCCACTCAAAGCAGGAATAGGGACAGAAGAATAGAAATTGGTTGAACATAAGGGATAAGAGGGGGAAAAACAGGAAAGCACATACATAAGAAAAGAGAAATTCCATCTCACCAGAAGCAGCACCTGTCAGTCAGACAAAGAGTACTTCCTCCAGAAAAATCACTTCTTATATGTAGATGCAGTACAAAGAGTAGGGAGGTGTGAATCAATTTAGCTAAGTTAAGAAAAATGCAAAAAGCCCCAAAACCATAGCGGGGAGGGGAGAGAGAGAGAGCATGTGTGCGCTAGCAATAAAGTGTTTCTTTAACATTTCCTTTTAGTAGATGGGGGACCTAGGGTCAAAGTCTATTAAACTGAACATCTTCCAATAAGACCTCTTCCCACCCATCTTGAATCAACTGCAATGACAGTATTGAACACCAGAGTTACAAACTGACCGATCAACCACACATCTCATTTGGAACCAGAAGTATGCAATCAGGCATCAGCAGAGGTAAACAAAACTTTCAATGTGTACTTAAAATCATATACGTACCAACTTCATTAAAATCTTCAAAGGTGATTTTGCCTGTTGCATCTCTATCATAATCTTTAAGTATTTTTAGCACATCAGCTTTTTTTACATCAAAACCCAAAGCTCTCATTGCCACCTTTTGGAATAAAACAGAAGTACAACAATATAACACTTTCAAAATATAAATCAGACTTCTCTTTTTATGTAAGTTAGTACTTATTATCCAAGATAAAATGTTGGTAATTGGAGAAAGGAACACTTTAATACATACAATCAAAAATAAACCATCTTTGGTTACAAAGAATTCTCAAAAGTAGTACTTATAAAAAGGCCACAAAGTGAAGTCAAGACATGTAAAATGTCATGCTTTCCAAGATTTTATAAAATGTGCCAAATACCTCTAGTGAGCAAGCATTCACTCTAAATCACACTTGTCAAATCCATTCCCACTATATACACATGCAAATTCCACTGCAGATAAGGGTTATACAGGAAAGGGAGTTACTCTGTCTTATATGCCTCTGTTCTCCAACTGTCTCATCTTGAGAACCACAGTGTAGGAGCCACATACCTAATCATACAGCTATTGAACCTTTTATACAATAATGACAGATGGGGATGCAAGTATTTCCCTTGAGTCCTAACTATACTGGCCAAAGGTATAAAACATCCACACACACACCCCACCAACAGTCTCCAGTTCTCCACCACCTTCAGAAGACCTAAAGTAGCTGAGTTTTGAAACAAATGGTTGGAGGGAGTTAGCATGGCTCTACAGAGGTAAGACATTCAAAGAACAGGAGTCGCAAAGTAAATAACCCTCTTTTATTCCTTCTAGCATTGCATTCACAAAGCCACTGTACAAGGGCTAGCTAGCTATCTCCTCCCAGAAAAGCGCTACTAGTTACATAATAAGAGAAGCACTGCCCTCCAGAAAACATGATGCAGTATCAAGAGAATACTGATTCATACAGATGTGTACCAAGCTCCATATATCAGCCCTATCTCCAGCAAGGGGGACTGGTTGGCAGAGGCTGCAACTCCAAGCCTCTCCTGGTTGTAGTGATGACCATCAGGATGGAGGCCTGCAGCAAGCCGGGGAACAGAGAAAGATTCCAAAGACCCTTACGTAAGTTTGGAACACCAAATTTGAGTCCCATGGGTCAACAGGTTCCCTGTTAAGAGGTATCAGTTAGTAAATCCTGGTCCCTAGCCCATAGTTTAATAAATTTAATTTGAATCTTTCATGTATACAAGTTCCTCAAAATCAATGGATTTCCACAACACAGCCAAAGCTTTCAATTTATTGTGTGATTATGGAAATCAGGCTGCTTTTCAATAGCCTCTCCCACTTCCTGTTCTACTCAAGCTGGAGAACCCAGATCTGCAACTGTACTGCTATAGTCCCTGCTGAGGGGGAAACCTCAACTCTTCCACCCTTAGTGCTTCATTTGTCAGTGAGATGGTTGGAGCTCAGACCCCTGGTACCCAGAATGCAGATGTTACTATACCACTCATATGGGTGTTTTTTGTGCGTGAATATTTGGGACTCTGACTCAAAATTCTGCTGCTTTTGAAATATAACCACTCCTTCACCAATGCAGGAGCTCTTTGATGCTGAGCACTCCTGAAAATAAGGCCAATTTATTTACCTGTCTAAATATGGGCTGAGCTCTTTTAGAAATATAGCCAATCAAAAGTTAAGTGAAAAACAAAACAAAAGTTACCTTTAATTCATGATAATCTATTGCTTTATCTTTGTCTGTGTCAAACAACTCAAAAGCATCTTTAATTTCTTGCTTCTGTTCTTCAGTCAGTTCTCTTCTTTTTTTCCTTTTGGTTTTGTCTACCGCAAGATCATTCCTACAAGTTAAAAAAAATAAATCCTACTATTATTTACAATGAGCTTAACATTTTCAAAGCACTTTACAAATGTAAACAATACAACAACATACCTGGGAGGTAGGTAGATATTCTACCGATTTTGCACAAGAAGAAAAATGAGGAAGAGAGGCTCAAGTGACTTGCCCAAACCCAAAGAGGCACAGCAAGGATTATTTATTTATACAGACTTGTAATATTGTATCTAGGACATACCTCTAGGCCAGGAGTGGGTAAACTTTTTGGTCTGAGGGCCACATCAGGGTTCTAAAACTGTATGGAGGGCCAGGTAGGGAAGGCTGTGCCTCCCTAAACAGCCTGGCCCCTGCCCCCTATCCCACTTACTGCCCCATGACTGCCCCCCTCAGAACCCCTGACTCATCCAACCCATCCTGCTCCTTGTCCCCTGACTGCTCCCCCCCGGGCCCCCCCCCCCCCCCCCCCCCCCCCCCCCGCGACTCTCCCTCCTATCCAACCCCCCCTGCTTCCTGTCCCGACTGCTCCGACCCCTATCCACACCTCTTCCCCCTGACAGCCCCCCCCCGGGACTCCCATGCCTATCCAATTGCCCCCTGCTCCCTGACTGCCCCCCGGGACCCCCTACCCCTTATCCAACCCCCCCCCCTCTCCCCCGCTCCCTGCCCCCTTACCATGCCACTCAGAGCACCAGGACTGGCAGCCCCACCGCCTGGCCGGAGCCAGCCTCGCCGCCGCGCAGTCTAAAGCACTGGAGCAGGCCGGCGGCTCTTGCAGCTGCGCTGCCTGGCAGGAGCTCGCAGCCCCACCACCCAGAGCGCTAGTGGCATGGCGAGCTGAGGCTATGGGGGAGGGGGGACACCAGGGGAGGGGTCGGGGCTAGCTTCTCCGGCTGGGAACTCAAGGGCTGGGCAGGAGGGTCCCGTGGGCCAGATGTGGCCCATGAGCCATAGTTTGTCCACCTCTGCTCTAGGCGCTCTAACAGTAATTAATACATACAGTCTCAAAATCCACACATCTAATGATTTGCTCATACACTCCATATAACTTTTCCCACCAACACAATAATAATCATAATTACTCCATATCTCACCACCCTAAATCCCTCATTTCAAATCCTCCCCAAATGCCCAAGAAAAATAAACCAGGAAGGTTTTACTAAGTGTCTGGAATACTGATAAAACTGGCAAACCAAGTGGGACAGTGAACTCCAGATCGGAATACCCCTCGTGGAAAAGGCCCTGTTGGTAGCCCCTTTCATTTAAACCAGGGGTGCCTCACATGATCATAAATGTGTTTTCGCACAGCCAGAGAGGCAGTTTCTCAGGTAACAAGATCTCAAACCATTTCTTTTATTCATTTATATTTATAAAAGATACCTACTCTACACTCTGGGTTACAATTTCATTAGTAAACAAACTGCCATAAAACTTCACTTTTACAATGCTCCAAACAGCAAATAATGCTCCAAAGAAGTGCATAAATTTAGCAATTTACAGGTTAAAACTTAAAATCCTAAACTCTGCTGGAATGGCAACAAGCAGATAGTGAAAATGGAGCATGTTTCATAAGCGCAACTGGAAAACTATATGCAGATCAAACCCATTCTGCATTAGCTTCAGCTTTTTAATGGTCTCAAGATGTAGCACTACGTAGAGTGTATTACAGTAGCATAGTCTTGTAGTGACAAAGGCAGCCAAAGCAGAAAAAAATGAGCCACAGTTACTACCTAAATATCTGGGAGAAGGCCAGGAACTAAGATGCCTGAACTACAAATACATCAATGGCAGCCCATTTGCTCAAATAAGGGTGCAGACCCCTCACTCCCCCCCCCCCCCCGTTTCCCCCAAAAGCTCTTTTTAGCTCTTCTGGTTGTAACCCCCAACTTTCCACTATATGATGAAAATCACAGGAAAGAGGAAACATAAATAAAAGGATTCCTGAAACAACACACAGATGAATTGAAGTGGAGAGATGGAGTGTCAATTGAAATGATTTAACCCTGAGGAAAGCTTATTTGCTAAATGTGGTTAAAAATGAAGTGATTGGAACATTTTGGAGGCTGCAAACAGCATATACCCTCTGGCCACTACAGCTACCGTTAATGGCCAAAAACCTTCAAGCCTTGCTTACACTAGAAAATTGTTCCTAAATATTTTCCACTGTTGCTACCTTCTGTTCCATTCCCTAAGAGGTAGCAATGATGGGAGCACAAGTTTAGACAGCTTAGCAGACTGCTATCAGCGCTTTGCCTATGACTTCTCCCAAAATCACTACCACATATGGAGCTGAGATGATGGTGCTAGTAGCAATGGTGGGAAATTTTAGGAAATATACCCTACTGTAAACAAGGCCTTGCACTAGCAAGTTGAGGGTGAGAATGCTAGTGGTATCTATAAATTCAAATTTCTAATAGAGTACTTTTTAGATAAATAGCATGTACAAAAGATTTATTTTTAAAAAATCCTTTAAAACACACACATTAAGGCTTTTTCTGCTCCCCTGCACATTTTTAAAGAAAATATTTGCAAATATTGTGCAAGTACATCTCTCTTTCTCTTGGCATGTGAAAAAAAGATGAAGTTCTTGAAAAATATGGATACAGTACATTGTATGGCATGCATGTAGGGAGTGAGAGCTGTGAGGATGTTGTGAACATGACAGTGGCTGATGGCTGAAGTGTCAACAGCGTGGAACTGGAAGCATGTGCACACAAGATATGCATAAAGGGTCAGCTGGTGCATATGCAAGGAGTGGTTGTTGTATGCTGGGAATATGTGTGCTAGAGTACATAAGAACAGCCCTACTGGGTCAGACCAAAGGACCATCTAGCCCAGTATCCTGTCTTCCAACAGTGGCCAGTGCCAGGTGCCCCAGAGGGAATGAACAGAACAGGTAATCATCAAGTGATCCATCCCCTGTCACTCATTCCCAGTAGTAAGGCTGTTTGGATGTTAAAGGATTATGGAAGTGTGTAGATCCCTAGTGATTACTGTATAGTGCATTCACAAGGATATTTGTTAAAGGGAAGAGGTGTTGATTCAGGGTAAGGGGTGCACGTGTTGTTTGCATATAGAGGATTGTTTGCTAAGGGGGACTGAGTACAGTTTGGAGATATTGATGGATGACCCCAGGGAAATTTGCTTGGAGGATATCTGTTTAGAATGGGAATGTCAGGTTGTGCACAGGGATTTTTGCTTTGGCAGTCTTGAAGCTACAAGCTATTGTTATTCTCTGTGTATACACACATTCATTGGCATGTTGGTGTTATTGGAGACATGGATATGTGGTGAGGGTGTTTATTTAGAAGGTGTTTGTTCAGGATAAAGGTGTTAGCTTGCAATAAGAGTGCTGGATTGCAGATGAGGGTATTCACTCAGGTTGTTGCTGCATGCGAGGTGTTTCTTTGCAGAGGGAGTTCGCTGTGTGGACTGGCTGGTGTTGGGATGTGGACTGGCTGCTGTTGGCGTGTGCATGCATTGGTGGCTGCTCAATGAGGGCTATTGACATGATGCTAGAGCAGTGGTTCTCAAACTTTTGTACTGGTGCCCCTTTCACATAGCAAGCCTCTGAGTGTGACCCCCCCCCTTATAAATTAAAAACACTTTTTAATATATTTAACACCATTATAAATGCTGGATGCAAAGCAGGGTTTGGGTGGAGTCTGACAGCTTGAGACCCCCCCATGTAATAACCACACGACCTCCTAATGGGTCCTGACCCCCAGTATGAGAACCCTTGTGCTAGAGGACTGTTACTGAATGAGTAGGTGGGACAGTTGCCTGTGATGGGTGTTTACTGAGTATTTGTTTACTGCATACTCTTACAGAAATTGCTTCTCTTCATCCCCCGGAAAAAGGGCAGAAAAGTCTGATGGATGACAGAGTACCCTATCAGAAATTGCTTGCCCTCACCTTTCCTTGCCTTATTTACTTTGTCAGTAACACCAGCTTAGACAACTCTTTGCTTCTCACACAAACATCTCCATACTTTCTTCCATGGTGACCTTATACTGGGAACTCTCACCAAAACCCTAGACCTCTTCTATTATAATTATGTATTACATGTATTGCAGTAGCATCTAGGAGCCCATTATGCACCAAAATCCCATTGGGTTTGGCATCATATGACAGCACAAAAAGTTGCTATCTCAAAGCATTTATACTTGGGATTCTGTCATCAGCAACCAGCCCATGGTGTAGCTGTACCAGTGCAAACAAAGTATATACAAGAAAAACTAAGGCTTGCACTAGCTGGTGAAGAGTTTATATAGGGGACCACTCCAGCCATTGAAATTTTGTGCATCCCAGCCTCTAAGCTTCTGTACTTTATGAAAGGGCTAAAACAGCCCTCAGTTAGCTATAGAATGGGGACTTGGAAAAGTAGTTTAGATCCACCCTTCATAGATTCTAATCAAAGACCAAAAGGGACCACTATGATCATCTAGTCCGACATCTTGTATTATCACAAGCCATAAAACTTTCACAAAATAATTCCTGGAGTATCCATTTTAGGGATCCAAACTTGATTTAAAGTTTGTCAGTGATGGAATATCAACCATGAACCTTGAGAAAGGTTATAGTGGACCACAAGCTAGGGGTTATAGTGGACCACAAGCTAGGGGTTATAGTGGACCACAAGCTAAATATGAGTCAACAGTGTGATGCTGTTGCAAAAAAAGCAAACGTGATTCTGGGATGTATTAACAGGTGTGTTGTGAGCAAGACACGAGAAGTCATTCTTCCGCTCTACTCTGCTCTGGTTAGGCCTCAGCTGGAGTATGTTGTCCAGTTCTGGGCACCGCATTTCAAGAAAGATGTGGAGAAATTGGAAAGGGTCCAGAGAAGAGCAACAAGAATGATTAAAGGTCTTGAGAACATGACCTATGAAGGAAGGCTGAAAGAATTGGGTTTGTTTAGTTTGGAAAAGAGAAGACTGAGAGGGGACATGATAGCAGTTTTCAGGTATCTAAAAGGGTGTCATAAGGAGGAGGGAGAAAACTTGTTCACCTTAGCCTCTGAGGCTAGAACAAGAAGCAATGGGCTTAAACTGCAGCAAGGGAGGTCTAGGTTGGACATTAGGAAAAAGTTCCTAACTGTCAGGGTGGTTAAACACTGGAATAAATTGCCTAGGGAGGTTGTGGAATCTCCATCTCTGGAGATATTTAAGAGTAGGTTAGATAAATGTCTATCAGGGATGGTCTAGACAGTATTTGGTCCTGCCATGCGGGCAGGGGACTGGACTCGATGACCTCTCGAGGTCCCTTCCAGTCCTAGAATCTATGAATCTATGAAATTGTTCCAACTTCACCCACTTCTTCAGGTATAGGAATGAAGGTCACATTTGTTAAAATCTTAAATAAATTTGATATTAATTTAATAAATTAAGCTCTTTGGAGACAGTACTGGGTCTACCCAAGTGTTTAACACTTAGCAAAATGGAAGTTTGATCCTGAAAAGGGCCTTAGTACAATACTGAAATGCAAATAATAAATTACTAGAGCCACCTTCCCCTCCCATTCTGCAGGTGCACTGAGTACATACTCAGTATATCTGAAAATTGAAAACCAGGTGCATTAATGTATTGATTTATACAGACAAAAAGCAGGATTTGGCCAAATATATGCTTTACAAAGCTCTAATCACATGTATACCATTATTTACTGTATTGATAGTATGTGAAATGCAACAGAAAAGATGTCTGAACACTAGATTCTGAAATCTTATTTATTTTTGATGCCCTAGCTGCTCTCACAAGCAAAACAAACTTATTGAAAGTCATTGCAAAGTTATGATTATTTAAAACTAAATGTCTGTTTTAACAATGACGTTTCTGAAGCAAAACTGAACCAAAAAAGCTGAACTTTATGGGTCTTGTACATACATATGGCAACAGCCCTTACTAAATAATAGTCTGTACAGATTAACCAAAGTGTTAAGGCCCCATCTGTCCAATGAATCCGCACTGATCCTGTGGAAGGATCACCCTGAGCGGCTAAATACTTTAGCTAATCTTAATGACTATTGCTCGGTGTGGGCTGCCGTCACAGGTGGGACGGGGGGCGGACACAGTCAGCGTACGGGAGGGCTGTAGGTCACCGAGGGGCTGCTGCGATGCTCTGTGCCAGACGCTCCCCACGGCCTCACGCCTCCGCTCGGCATCCAGCAGGACACGGGGCCTTGGAACTGGCAGGAGTCCTGCAAAGCGCTAAACCCATGTCTCGCCGGAGGGGAAGGGCCCGGACACAAGGGTAGGTTGTGGCAGGCAGCTACTGGCGGCAAAGCAAAGAGCTGGGATTAGGGTGACCAGACAGCAAATGTGAAAAATCGGGACGGGGTGGGGGGTAATAGGAGCCTATATAAGAAAAAGACCCAAAAATCGGGACTGTCCCTATAAATCGGGACATCTGGTCACCCTAGCTGGGATACATGGGCCCCAAGGTGCCTCCAAAGCCCCAGCGCTGGGCGGGGGCCCCGAGTCGCCGCAGCCACTGAACAACGCCAGCCCTTCCTCCCCGCCCCCACCCTCTCTGCCCCGGGCCCGCCCACTGGGGTAGTAGCCCTTGAGGGGAGCGGCCTCAGCAAGCGCGCTCGGTCCCGGCGGGGTCACAGCCTAGGCTCAGACCCCGGCGCCTCGCTCCATCCATACCGACCTCAAGGCCAAACTCATGGTCGCGTCCCCACCCCCGGCCTGACCGGGCTAGACCGCACTGGGCTTCCCCTGCCGTCACCGGCACCAGTAACGGCGCCACCGCCGCTCCAGCTTCCCCTTGGAAACGCGATACAATCTAGGCACAAAAAGCCAAGCTGCCTGCTACCGCTAATCTAAGTGGCTGAGCAACAGCTTCCTCCCACCCACCTCCCTGAAATACTCTCTTATTGGTTGAAATGCTTGTCAACCAAAGGGGATTCCCCTCCTTCTACATAGTTTGGTTGACGTGTGCGGCTGCCGATTTTACCCAGACTGCCTCACGGCTCAGGCTTTGCATTGGGGAAGCGGCGGTTAAATTTCAAAAGCGGTGGGAATGTGGGTGAGAATGCCGGATGTAGCTTTGAGGCGCCTTCCTCCCGCTGGCGTCGGGCCGCCCCTGCCCGGGGTTTGCAACGGGCCAGCCTGTGACGCTCAGGAGGCTGCTGGGAGAGGCGGAGGCTTTTCAGTCAGGAGGAGGAACGCTGAGGTGGGCGGGTCCCAGTGGAGCTGGACGGCGCTCAGGACCCTGCCTGAATAGAGCCCGTCTAGGCCCCGTTTGAACTCTGCGCTTCCCCGCCCCTACTGCTCCGTCAGGGCTCGCACCCTCCCCGAGACATCGGCCCGGGGGCCGCGGGCAGAGATGGACGCAGGGCTGTGCTCTCATCTCCTGGCGCTGGGAGCTTGGCGTCACTGCCCCAGCCACCGGAATCCGCTGCCGCTATTCGGCTCTCACTGTCCTTTACTGGCTGGGGCCCGTGGAAGACAACTGCTAGTAAAAGTCCCGGGTTAAAACCCTGCTGAAGATCGATGTGGGAAAATATAGTAGGTGAGCATGTAATTAATAATTGTACGTAACAAGCATTATGATACTAGGGGTTAGGAATTAAGGTTGCACAGCTAGCGTTAGTTGTGCTATTTGCCAATTTTTGAGCACTTTGCCATTTATTTTTTGTACCAAGTATATATTTAAAATCCCTAAACTTTTTTTTTTTTTATTCACCCTGGAGATTCATGCCCCAGGTGGGCCGTCCTCTTTCTAAGAGAGTACTTTTGCATAGGACAAGAGAATTTTTGTTTTATCAACATAACATATTGCTTATGACAAAGCAACATAAGTAGCACAGTAGTAGAATAGCACCACTCTACTACTGAATGAAATTGAACATAAAAGAACACATTGACTCACCTTCCTCTAAGGGAGTAGGGTGAGCCTATTTGCTAGCACACCATTTCTGGTTCATTGGTTTGATCTCAGAGAGTTTGAACTGCAGATCAGTGTACAGTAATCAAGCAAAAAAAACAAAAAACACACCCCAAACCATACAGATTAGGGATGTAAGAGTTTAATCTGTTAATGATTAAACTCCGCCAAGGGTCCCGGCTGCCGGCCCTGCACCTGGGATCCCTCCTGGCTGCCTCCCTGCTGCCACCCAGCATCCTGGCATGCCTGGGGTCCGTCCCGGCTGCCGGCCCCACACCTGGGGTCCGTCCTGGCTTCTGACCTGCTGCCACCCGGTGTGCCCGGTGTCCATCCCAGCTGCCTGCCCCAAGTCCGGGGCTCTGCTGCCGCTGCATCTGGGGCTCTACTCTCACCTGGCGCACCCAGCATCCCAGCTGCTGACCTTGTGCCCGGGGTCCTTCCCAACTGCCAGCCCCATTGCCACCCTGCGCTCTGCTGCCGGCCCTACTAGATCCATTATATGTTATAATATATATATTGTCAGTTCAGATATATTTCTTAGTACCGGGTTTACCATGGCACCAGTGGCTCCATGGTGCTGGGCCCACACTCAGAAGGGGCCCCGGTGTCCAGATTGTGGCCCCACCTCTCCAACCCACTCTGCCTGGGTTCTGCTTGGACGAGGCCCCACCCACTGCTCACTCCTCTTCACCCCCCTCTTTCCCACCTAACCCCTGGGGTGTGAGTGGTGGGCTGGGCCCCAGGGCCATCCTTACCCATACACAAACTATGCAGCTGCATGCTGCTCCAGCGGCCAGCCTGATCCCCGGCCAGGAATGCTGCCTCCGCCCCTGCTCCCAGGCGCCACCGGTCTGTGCTGGGGGCGTGGTTCCCCCCCCCCGTTTCCCCCAAGTCCCAAGGCTGAGAGCCAGGGGAGCAGACTCATGCTGGGGGACGGTTTCCCTTCTGCCCCCCAAGCCTGCTCCTGCCCCCACAGACTTTGGGCACAGCTCCCCCCCCCCCATGGGGGGGAGGGCTGCATAGGGCACCACAATGTCTAGGGACGGCCCTACTGTACTTCTCCAGGCATGTGGGTCCTGAGGGAGCCTGGCTGGGGCAGGCCGGGCTCCCGCTCTGTCCTGGCTGGTTGTGTCGCTTCCGAGGGGCCAGAGGGATCCTTGACTGGCCCCAGCAGTGCTGCAGGCTCAGCTCATGCATGGACATAGTCACTTCCAGCAGGCCGGTGAGTGTGGCTGGGGGGCAGGAAGGGTGTGGAGGAGTGGATCTCTGGAGGGTCTGTAGGGGGCAGTGGGGGTTCTATGTGGGGTACTCCTGGGAGAATGAAAACAGATCCCCTGCAGATTTCTTTGCTTCCCTTTCAAAAGTGACTGAAGAACAAAGGGAGGGGGCTGGCAGCTGAGAACGCCCATGGGCTTAGTTTGGGGGGCAATGCCCCCAAACAGAGGTGAAGCATGGAGGCACACAGTCACATGCCACTGCCTCCTCCCCTTTCTGCAAGCTGAAAAAAGAGGGTGCTGATCAGAAGATGCCACTTTCTGGGTCCTAGTGCTGGTTGAGCTCCCCTTCTGTGTACTGGGAGCCATCCTGTTTTCCGTACAACAGTGAGTGCCTATGGTGGGGAAGGGCAGGGGCAGGCTGGGGTTAGGGAGAAAGAGGCAGCGGGGAAGGAATGCGGTAGGGTGGGCAGGAGATGGAGCGGTGGGGAAGGGGGATGGGATGGGGAAGAGAAGGGGACAGGGGAAGTGGGGGCAGGGGGAAGAGGCAGTGGGGAAGGAAGGGTGTGGGTTGAGGAGGAGATGGAGCAGTGGGGAAGGGGCATGGGATGGAGAAGAGAAGGGGATGGGGGAAGCGGGGCAGGAGGGAAGCTGGAGCCCAGCATGCAGCATACCCTTGGCAGAAGCTGGGGCTCCCCTGTTAAGCAGGCCCATTGAACCCTCACCCTGACAAGCCTTCACCTGGATCCCCTGCAGAGTCCCATTGCCCTTGCACCTGGAACCCCCCAATGAGCTTCTGTGCATCCAAATCTCCCACTGAGCTGCCCGCACCCAGATTGCCCCACAGAGAACTCTCTTACCCCCACAATAAGTCCCTCTGCATTTGGATCCTGCTGCCGTGCTGAGCCTGCTCACTCACACCTGGTGCGCCTGGCACAGGGGGGCAGGGCCCCAGGGTGTTTCGGGGGCAGGCCCAACCCTTGCACTGTGTCAGGGTCGGGTGCAGCCTCACTGCCGAGTCCCTGTTGTGGGATGGGGGGAGGCCGCAGGGTAATCTCCCACCTCCATGCAACCAGTGGCCTGTGCTTCCCACTGCCATGTTGGAGCCTCCACATTTATTTATTGACAAATAAAATTTTCAGAATTTTAAAATATTGTGAGCAGAATTTTTAATTTTTTTGGTGCAGAATCCCCTCAGGAATATGGGGTGCTGTGTAGCTGTGATGGTGGGACTGTGAGGAAGGTTGTGGGCAGTGGGGAGGTCTATGGATGGGGGGGCGCTGGGCGAGTGGTGTGGTGTGCAGGGTGCTGTCCAGTTGTGGTGGGAGGCCAGCGGGGGAGGTCTCTGGGCGGGGTGGGGGCTGGGCATAGAGATCTGTGGTGGAGGTCTCTGGGCGAGGGGGCGCTGGGCATAAGGGTGGGGCACTGGGCAAGGGGGCGGTGTGGTGCGGGCCTGCCCTCAAGGGGAAGGGGCATGCTGGCACCACAGGGCTGGGCAGGCCAGTGTGCAGTTGCAGGTTTGTAAACAGTGCCCTCCTGCTGGGCTGCTCCCGCCACGCTGTGCCTCATTGCCCCCCGCCTGCCCGTCACTCTGTAGACTGACCATCCCAACCCCCTGCACCTTGCCCCATGGGGGCCCACAAATATGTTTGGCGCCGGGCCCACAAAAAGTATCCTATCTTGCAGGGGTTTTAGAGAAACTAAGAAGCACAAATGACCAGTGTTTTCATCTTGTAATGGCAGGAAATTGATCTTGTGATCTCTGGTTAATCTTCTTTTGGATGGTGAAAATACTCCAAAGGTCCTACCAATATGTCCTTTGTTTTCCTGCCCTAAATACAGCAAGCAGTTAATACTATGGATATAAGAATCACTGCAATTAAACATCTAACCCTGCACTCCTGGCCCCTGCCCGCCCCCAGCTTGGCCTCAGCCTCCACCCCCTTACCCCGTCCATGTCCCCCCATCCCAGAGACATGCCTCTGCTCCCAGGGGTAAGGAGGGGGCTGGCTTTAAAAATGTTCCAGCACCACTGGTTCACAATGAATCTACTGCACATATATATTATCTTTGTCAAGTGCTTTTATTAACAACAAAAACAGCCAGTCTTGTGTGTAAAACTAAAACCTACTTTTTTGTTTAACTTTTTACATAATATCCATGAACCGTCCAAAACCACAAAAAGTCAGATCAGAATTTCAACTCTACTGCTGATTTTTGTTAAGAAAAATTATCATGTTTACATGCTCTGGTGTCAGTCTTGTGCGCAGCCAATTAACAGTAAGGCCAGAGTTGAAAAACACATGTTTTGCAGGCACAGACGTTCCTGGAATGCGCAGGTAACTGTTTGCCAGTTTTCCAAGCCTTGGAAAACGGTATGCATTGGCCTTCCACCACTTCAATGGACTGCATTCCAATGAAGGACAAGGCTCCCTGAAGTAATTTTCCAGTTCATTTTCTACTGCATTCTTCTTTTTGGCGTAACTTTCATGTAAAAGCATCACTCTTCTGAGTTTCATGCATTTTTTTCGGTGCTGGCTCTATCGGCTAATCCAGTTCAGCACTTCTCAGTTCAGCCCTAGCATTCGGAGGTTCTTCTATTTCTAACATTGATGCAAGTCGCTGCTAAATCAAAGCTTCTGCAATCTGGACAACAGGTGAAAGAAACTGCATGTGTTCATGATGTGGATC